GGTCATGGAAGGAGAGGATCTTGGTTAACAATAGCAAGAGACGAATTCTTGGTTCATGTAGCCAACGCCTTAATTGAGATTAAGGCTCTAATACTGTTATTGTTGTATATGTTTATAATAGATATAATTTTTTTACTTTGGAATATGAGGTTTAAATAACCATAATAAAGTTTCAAATTCCCCCTTATTCGGAAGAAAACTACTGCTCGCAAGGCAACAGCAACAATAAGTATCAACCATATCTAACAAGCAATAAAATCATTGCATGCTCAATGGAGCCACAAAGAACACAATAGTACAACAATTAAAGTTGCTGTATAACCCAGTGTTTGAAAAAGCGCGCCTAAGGTGCTGAGACGCAAGGCGTTAGAGGTCATGCGCTTTTTATGGTCTAGGCGAGGCAACTTCAATGAGGCACAGCTAAGGCGCGCCAAGGTGCAGCCTGAGGCGCACAAAGAGTTTTTTTTCAGAATTTTTGTATTGCTTATTATATGCACCTCACTTCAATGAGACGCACCGAGGCAAACCTTAGGCGCAAGGTACTTAGAAACACCTTGGTGCGCCTTGAGCCTTTTTATACATTGGTATATCCAAGTCAGAAAGCATCTCCAAGGATCAATATGTGGATAAATATTTAATAAAAACCACCCTCTCCAAACAGATTTTAGGCAAGAATCAAGAGTGAGCCCTTTCAATTCCCTCCTTGGGATGAAGCATTGATCCCCCCCCCCCCCCCCAAGTGGGACACTTGAGGAAAGGAATAAAATATCTAATAATTAAATCACGAAAAACAATCATTCGTACCCATCAAAACACACCATAAGATCGCCCAAAATTATTCTCATACAAGCTCCATACTCCCTATCCTTCTTTGAACCAGTATATTCAGGATGCTCCACATTGAAATTCAAATTTCTTCTCTTAAAAAAAAAAAAACCAAGTTTTCTCATATAATAAGTTGCAGCTTACAGATAGGATAGTTTGCATATTTAAGTGGCTTAAGTCACCTATACACATTAAGCATACTATGTGCAATAACATTATTTGGCAATCAAATATAAAAGTATCCATGTACAGAAATCCAAATATGAGCCTTCATCTAATGAGAGACTTAAATATGAGGTATCAACTATCCTTGTATAAGTAACAACTACCATGAGGTATCAAGTGTCCCTATACAGAAATCTAAATATGAGCCTTCATCTAATGAGAGACTCTACCAAGCAATCTGATTTTGCATTGTTCCTTATTCCCAACAAAAGAGAACATCCTTAAATTTGTCATTATCATAAAAATAAATAAATAAATAAATAAATAAATAAATAAAAATAAAAAATAAAATAAAATAACCAACATATAGAAGATATCTAAACTGGGAATGAATGAAGCACTACAACCACATGTGAATAATTTTGGCTTACCCAATGTAATAAAAGCCTCTAGGAGCAATGAGGCGATACTGTGCCTCTTTGAAATGAGGCACACAATATAAAACCAATTACGTTCGCCTCTTTGAATGCACCTCGCCTAGAAAAAAAGGTGTTATACCCTAATCGCCTAGCACCTCATGCGCTCCTTTTCATACACTACCCAGACAGCTCCTTCTAGAAAATTCAAAGAGTTTCTAGGGGGGGGGGGGACTACCCTTTCCCCATATCCATAAGATTTCCGAGGTAAGTTAAACCCTGCAATCTTATTAAATAGGAAAAATGTAAACTAATAATCCCACCTTTAGTCGGTCTTCCACAAACAATCCCACCTTTTGAAATTCCAGAAATAATCCCACCTTTTGCTCCAATCTTCCATTAACAGTCCCTGACCGGGATTGATCTGGTAACCGATTTTCTTAAGTTAAAAGACACGTGTAGGTTTTTAATAGGTTTAGTCCGATTTTTAATAATTAAAAAAAAAAACAAATCTAATTAAAAAAAATAAAGAAGAAAACCCCCAGCCCCGCCACTAGCCCAGCCTGCCACTGCACTCCTCTCCCCATCCCCGCCCTTGCATTCTCCGGCAACCACCACCCTGAAAACACCACCAGTCGCACACCCCTTCCACAACCATCAATTTCGCACAATCCCGGAGTTCAACGATGATGTAATTCGAACACACGGAGTTTTGAGATTTTTCGTGGGGGTGGGATTTCGTCGGGGTGGTACTTGGGTTTTGTGGGGCTGTAGGCGTGGGTTTTGTGGGGGTGGTGGGTTTTGTATAGGTGGGTTTCATGGGGTGGTTTTTATGGAGTTTTTCAGGCTAAGGGTTGAGTTTTTAGGGCCAAGAGGAGTTATTTGGGGCTGTGGGTGGTGTTTTCGGGGTTATCATTGGTGTTTTTGGGGCTGTGGGCGGTGTTTTCGGGGGTGTTAGTGGTTTAGGGGGCTGTGGATGGTGTTTATTTTGGAGCTGTCAGTGGTGTTTTCGGGGTTGTGGGTGTTTTCGGGGCTGTGGATGGTGTTTTTGGGGTTGTGGGTGGTGTTTTCGGGGCTGTGGGTGGTGTTTTCGGGGGCTTTCGATGGTGTTTTTGGGGCTGTGGATGGTGTTTTCGGGGGCAGTCAGTGGTGTTTTCGAGGTTGTGGGTGGTGTAATTTGAGTGAGGCTCGGGTTTTGGGGGTGGTGATGGTATTTCGGCGTGGTTGGGGGTTTCGTAGTGGCCTAATGGATGGAGGTGGCGGTAAAGGGTGAGGGTTGGGGTGACCACGGTGGTGGCTGGTGGTCGTAGAAGAGATTAAGTTTTAAAAATAAAGGGAATTTTTTTTTTAACCTGTTTAACAGGTTGTAGGTCAAAGGGATTGTTAGTGGAAGATCCCTATCAAAGGTGGGATTATTTCTGGAATTTCAAAAGGTGGGATTGTTTGTGGAAGACCGACTAAAGGTGGGATTATTAGTTTACATTCTTCCTATTAAATATGGCTAGGATAGTGATCCTAGAATACTAGATGTCAGGCAAGAACCAAATTTCAAATACTATTGTTCCCATGCATTATAGGAAAAGGAAATTGAAGCCTAAGAAATACTAAGTAAGCAACTTAAGTGCAAGCGTACCACTTTGAAATACTTCAATAAATTATTAATCAAAACTGCATTTCCTGTCTTCTTTTTAAGAATACTGATTTCTTAACATGACGTTTCCTTCCTACTTCCTCAGATTTAATTTACTTGACCTATAGCCTTTTGGCACCCAGCTAAAGGAAGGGATTGATAAAAAATAAACATACTCTTAATTAAAATAAATTAACACCATAAAACCCCCAATATATCCCTTTTATTGGTGTTTTTTTTTTTTTTTTTTTTTTTTTTTGTGTGTGTGTGTGTGTGTGTGTATTAAGAACATTGTTTATCTTTTCTCTAATTTCTTCCTTAAATTGTGTGCCATATAGATCAAGTAAAAAGACACAAAGGAAGTACATGATATACTTATATTCAATCCCTTAACTTCACTAACACTAATAACTTTCTGCCCTCTATTTCACTATATTCTTTGCTAAATTCACATCCCTTACCTTCACTAAAGTTAACACTATTATGCCTTCTATTTCACTATATTCATTGCCTTCCCCTAATCTTCTCCTAGATTTCGGCCCACTCACTGCATAGTGTACTATGGGTACACATTTCCTAAAAAGTTACAAGTCTAATAACTGCCCCAAAAGAAGGCAAACCACCTTAATTATTAAAAATGAAAAAAATAAATAAAGAGAGGCTACTATGTATAGCTAACATAGTGTAAGAGGTGAGAAGAAAAAACTACATACACAATATAAGGTAAGTTTTTTTTTGAAGAGGTGCAAGAAAACCATCCCATAGGGTGCGTAGTTAGTAGATTCTGGATACGATTCTAAACATTGAGCAAATGGGTAAAACAGAATTGAATTTTAGATATTGTGTTTTTGGTGTTTCTAGTATTGTTACATGAAGCCATCAACTGATCAACTACCTTACCTCAAAAAGAAGGAAGAAGATAAAGAACTGCAGGGGGAGGGGTGGGGGGTAAGCAGTATCTTAATGGTGGAAACCAAATAGAAAACAAAGAAATGAGAGGTTATTTATTATAATAGTTACTGAGTTAGTACAACATCCATGGATAATATTCATAGAATGAGCATAAAGAGCACTTCAAACATATTCACAGGCCTCTAATCAACCATGATGAGATTGATGACACTAACACAAGGATACCATCATTGAAGCTCTCACAACTCCACTATGTTTTAACAAGATTCAGATTCTCTCTTGTGGTATCAAGTAAGAAGTACAAGATAAAATCCAGAGACTTCATAAGGGAAGCGAATAGTGGTCTACTAGCAATGTGGCAAGGTGCAGAACTTGTGGCAAAAGAGAGCGGAAAAGGAAAAGATGACTAGAAATCATAATTACAAGGAACAGATCCAAAAATTGGGCATAGAAGATAGAAAGAAACCAGAAACAAAGTTATATAAGGAAGGAAGATATAGCCATAAGCAATTACAGGTGGGTGCAAGTCAGATGCTAGAAAACGAGGATTGTACTAGGTTACGACAGCATAACACAGAGTTAACTCAATCCCAAAATAATACATACAATACATGTTTACAAGCCAGGAACTATATGATAGACAGGCTATATGGCTTATCACATACCTTCTTATGTCCTCTAACAAAGTTATCATCAGATTAACTAGACCAAACACATGTGTACACAATCAACTTTATGATTTTAATCTAATATCAATCTGCTAGATGTAGGAATGCAGAGTAAATATTGGTTGTTAATGACTACTGACCTAAACAATACAGAATTGGAATCATGAAACAACCACTCTTTAATGTAGGAAATGCAGAAAGAGTTTAAAAATACAAATATTATTAGACACTATGCAACGAGCCCACAGCCACCTCCAGTGACTCTAAATATTTTCTAAATAATATTAAGAATACATTTGTCATAGTTTATATAATCATTCTCTAGTAGCCATAATTGATAAAGCAGCAAAGATATAATGATATAAAGTAAAAAAAGAAACATACCTCGTCTCTGTCGTAATTGTCACCGCTATGAGGATCAAAGAGAACATCACCAGTTGCGAGCTCAAAACAAATGCAAGCAAAGGACCACATGTCAGCAAAGGTAGAATATTTTGATCCAAGGATCACTTCAGGACACCTGTACTGCCTGGTCTGAATATCATTTGTAAACTGTTTGTAAGTCCAGCAAGCATTTCCAAAGTCGACCAATTTGCATTTGAGTTCCACAGACTCCAAAAGTTTCCGCCTTGTTGATCGGCTCCCTCTCTTATGAACTGAACTTCCTCCACTTGTCCTCTTCACACCATCGACATCTGATGATCTAACCACAGTGTTAGAATATTCAATTGAACTTTCATGCAATCCCTATTTGAAACTTTTACAATGATTAGATCTATACACCACCTGATGCATCAGGATCTTGCTCGGATTCAGCAGCAGCTTCCTTCCCAGCACACCCTTGAGCTGCACGTTTCGCCTTTCTCCGAATCTTTTTCTTTTGATTCTTTGTCAAATCTCCATTTGACAACTTACTATCCTTTGTGCTACTAGACTCATAAATAGTTTTGTCCTTGGTATTAGGAAGAATAAGAGGAGCACCAGTTTTTCTAGGGTCCTTAGATGAGTCTATCACCGACAACAACAAAATGTTTTCTGGCTTTAAATCAGTGTGTATGATAGACAGCTGCTTATGCAAATAATCCAAGCCAACTAGAATATGATAACATATCTCTTTCACCTTAGCTAGAGGCATCCCACGATAGTCTGAATACTTAATTAGTGTCAAAAGATTGTCCCCCAAATACTCAAACACCATACACACATGCTGTCCATTTGGACCGGAATGTTTGAAGTGATCCAAAAGCTTCACAACACACTTCTTATCATCTGGATCACCATCAGCAATCTGTTTCAAAATCGTTATCTCATCCATTGCTGCTTCTGTGTAATGTTGCGCACTCTTTTGCACTTTCAATGCTACATATCGCTAATTCATTCAAACAAACAAAAAAATGAAAACAAAGCAAAGAAGAAAACAGAATAACATAAACCTCCCCAGCATTTTCAATAAAATTTGAGTGTTAACATAATGTAGACAGAAGGAATGGAAATCAGTACATAACAATAATCCCAACAAACTTACAGACAACATTTCAAAAGAAACCTAATGGTAACTACCACAGCCTAATCTTCCGTCAACAGTAATAACGACAACAGAATACATTCCACTCTTCTTTTCAAACTCAACTTTCTCGTACTTGTGATACTCCCATTGACCACACACCGACAGTGCATTCATGAACTACTCAGAAAACAGACAACACAAAGTACAGAAGCTTACACAAACAAACCGCGTCAATAAAATAGTATACAGGTGCAAAACCTACATCCTCATTACATTTATCAACGGTTTTTGCTAGAACTATAACATAATTTCAAAATCAACCAAAAAAAAATTAAAAATCGAAATTACTAATAAGATAGCCAAAAAGGGAAAAATACAAACCTCCTCAGTCGAACAATTTTTACAAATATTTTCCCAAACATTTCACAGAAAACAAACGAATACACCATACTGAGTCCCATAACATTATCAATAAGATAATGCAAGCTTCCACAAACAAATTAATCAACAAAATCATCAATCAAACACCAAAAACAAGGTCAAAAACTCAAATTCAAACAAAAACAATCCAGATCAAAAAATCTTAATTAATTTTGCAATCAAAAATAGAAATTAATCAACACAACAAAAAATTGGAGAAATACCGAGTGTTTGGTATCCCAAGCAAGCCAAACGGTGGAGAAATGGCCCCAACCAAGCTTACTCTGAACAACATAAGCTCCATTTTTGAAGGAATCGCCGATTCGAACAGCATGATAACCTCCTCTTCTATAATCATCTTTACCTTCGTCTTCCGACGTATAATCGCTTCCACTTTCGCTTACTTCATCTTCTTCCTCTTCTTCAACCGCCGGTTCTTTCTCTCTCAGCTCCGCTTTCTCCGCCGTGACCGCCACCGTGGATTTTCGCCGGCTGTCCATTTCCGGTGAGTTTTCCGATCTGAAGGGAGGTAAGGTATATAGTCTTTGTTTGTCAGAGAGGATGGGAAAAAAGAATGAATTAGTTGTTGAACCTTTTGACCCTTTTGATGATTGGTTTTTTTTTTTTTTTGTTGTTCTTTCGGGTTTATTTGTTCTTTATCATATCATACTTCCTCAATTCTTTGTTACTTAACCTGTTTCTTTTATCACGCTTGCCAATATAAAATTTTAACGATCAATAATTTAAATTCTCCATAAGTAAATTATAAAAGTTATATATTATGATAGTACTTATTGAGACGAATCCAAAAAGATCATATATGAATATATTTTTCCTTACATATTATTCACAAAAGACGGTCTAAGGATGGGTGGTGAATAGTGGAAAAGTCAAAGCGGGTCAAGTAATAAAGAACGGAGAAAGTATGTTTTTTTTTCTTTTTTTGTGAAAAATATAATATGGTAAATAGATAATTCGTTGATATAATTGATTAATAATACTCCCTCCATTTTCTTTTATTTGTCACATTTGAAATTTATTGTAATATGGTAAATTTTTTATACTTTAAAATATAATCATAATCACCTGCGGTCTTAATAAATCCGTCTTGATTTTTAGTTTCTAACTAGAGAAAATTGTGAAAAAGGACCTTTTAAATGGTCGACTTTTTGAAAAAGGACATTTTAAGTGAAAACTTGTGAAAAGGGACCTTTTAAGTTGTATTTTGTTTATATGGGGGTACTTGGCCGAGCTTACGACCTTACGTGGTGGTCAATGCCGGAGCTCCGACGTTGACTATCACGTGTTAGTCACGTGACTTTTTTTAAAAAAAAAACCCCAAATTTTCCTCCTTTCCCGGCCTAATCAATGAAAGAGTTAGGTCGGGAAAGGAGGGAAATTTGGGGGTTTTTTTGTTTTAAAAAAAAAAAAGTCACGTGACTCTCACGTGATAGTCAACGCCGGAGCTCCAACATTGACCACCATGGAAGGTCACCCAAGTATCCCATACAAACAAAATGCAACTTAAAAGGTCATTTGTCACAAGTTTTAACTTAAAAGATCCTTTTTCAAAAAGTCGACCACTTAAAAGGTCATTTTTCACAATTTTCTCTTCTAACTACTAGCGAAAATGCATTCTTTAAACAATTGCAAATCCATACAAGGTTTCACATTTTTCACTTGCTTGGAGTGGGAATCAAACTCATCTCATAAGAATAGAAGGAGGACTTTCAAGCTCGAGCAATGCTTTGAATTTTTACTTTGATAGAATCACTTACGGGGTTTATGTTTAACAACGGATTTGAACTCTAAACTAGAGTGACATTTAAAAAAGCTTAAGAGACAGTTGGATAACCAACTAGCTACACTTAATTGCTTGTCATAAAGCTGCTTGTAATGAAAAATTTAATAAGATTGCACCAAGGAATTATATAGTGAGGAATTTCAACAAAATTCTAATTGGTCTCAAGTTTAATTCTCACTAATAACTTAACAAGAGCAGTGAAACCATCTTATCTCCAAATTGTCAGGTTTATTGTCGTTGCCTGGAATAAATTGCAAATGACAACCTTCCAACACCGGTAGTCTGGTAGATCATTTAATTAAGTTCCACCCACCTGCAATCTTGTGAAGATTTGATCCGAAGGCCTAAGCTTACTGGCCACCGATCAACTCAAATTTGGAAGGAAAAAAAAGATTAAAACCTCACTAACAAAATCAAATGAGATGTCATACTAAAACTAACTGAAAATAGGAGAATTATTAGTCCACTTCGGTTTAAAGTGAAAACACTTTACGTAATATTTTATTTTTAACATGGGGCATATAATACTCACATATACTTGAACTTGACACAGTCAATCATAATTCGTAATACTCTAGTCTATAGATTGAGCAAAATATCCAAAGTAGATTTGGTAAGAACATCATCATGTTATAGTAATGAAGCTCTCAATTACTAGTAGTACATACATACAAAAGCACCCAAAATACTAGTTGCACCACTAATCAACATATCTTGCTTAATAATTTTTCTAATAAAAGTTAGATTATATAATTAAAATTTAAAACATAAGGTGTGATCAATCATGCAAGAGAACCCCAATAAGAAGGTGATGAAATTGCGTTGTAGTTGTCAACATTGAAGAGAAAGTGACCCTCTTTGTTGTGCTCACGACCAATACTTTTGTTTTGGTTTGCAACTGCAGCTGACGTACTCTCAACGGTCTCTTCACATGAGGCTTCTGTATAGCTGCTGTAGACTTGCTTCTTTGTAGCTTGTTCCTTTAGCATAGACTTTAATTTTTGTACCTGTTCATTCATTTTATTTTTAACTATTAATTGATTGATGTTTAAAACTTGTACGGAGTATAGCATAGCATATACACGTCGAAAACCTCATTTAATTGACGGCCATTAGGCTTTAGATATTAGAAGTAACCTTTTACATGCAATTGAATTTGCGTACTAATAATTCGTATAAATATACCAGGTTATCTAAAGCTAACTAGACTTCAACTAATCCGAATTCGAACGGATCAAGCCCCAATCAGTGGAATAAGCTCTCCCAAACTAAATTGGAATAACACCCTTATCAACTTATCCAATCTCTTAGCCAGTTGATAATATATGTACTAGTACCATTTTTCGTCATCATAATCATTGCTACCTTTGTCTCAAATAATTTGTCACAAGTAGATTCACAATGTGATTTCAAATTAAATTAACAATCTCCAAACTTATTTTAGTTATTAACAGTGTGACATTTATTATAAACATGACAATTAACAGTAAAATGATGTTATATGTTAATGGTATTTATAATCCTTATCATTGGAAAAGAAAATCATGCAAAACTAAAATAACACATACATGTAAACTCTTAGGGCCTTAGTCTCTAATAGAAAGATGGATAGATGCTAACCTCCTCTTGGAGCTTCTGCTTCTCTTTGGTCACAACTTCAAACTCAAGCTTAAGAGCATCATACAAATGCTCAAGCTTCTTAGCCTTCCACCTTGCTCTCCTATTCTGAAACCAAACCGCGACTTGCCGAGGTTGAAGGCCGAGCTCTCTAGCAAGCCTCATCTTTCTATCAGGGTCTAGTTTCCTCTCTTCATGGAAACTACTCTCCAGTGACTCTAGTTGATTTGTCGTTAGCCGCCTTTTCATCTTTTCTTGATTGCCAAAGCTCATCATAACCATGTCTCTTTCCATATTTGATGGAATAACATTTGCTGTCATCATCTCAACTGCACCATGATGCTTCATCACCTCCAAACCTTGGGGAATATAAATAATGAGCTAGCTAATATAAGCTTTATAATGGTGCATATATGTTTAGCGTATGAAATATTTATACTCATAGTTGTTATACAAGATTATGAACATCACATAAGCTAGGGTTTGTTCGGTATCACTATTTGTACTGTTATAAAGATGAGTATAATAAAAGTAGTAATGGGAACTTAATATTATTGGACAAACTCATAAATAATAATATTTTTATTATTTTGACATATCCATGCTTAATCAACCTATTACAAACTACAAAGCTAAACAGTAACAAAAGCTAAAATTTTCATGTTAATAACACCAAAGGCAAAATAAAGGAGTTTGTTTAAAGCAAGGAATCAAGCTCCTCTAAACCTAATACTTCGTACTTCATAATAATAAGATATTTCAGGCCACATGATAGCTCATAAACTGATGACTATAATAAGATATTTCAGGCCTTACGATAATTCATAAACAGGTGACTATTAGAAGCTTGATTCAAACCAAACTTGTTAAACTAAAGAAGAATCGGAGAAAATGGCTTACCTTGTACTGATATTCACAAACATATACTTTGTATGTAGTACAAACTAAGGTTACCTAAAACTCCTAAAAGATATTTATCAAAGATAACAATACGGAGCAGAATATTAACATAATAACCAACCGACTTCTAATACTTGTTTTATTGAGAAAAAAAAATAAAAATCCCAACAATAGCATAAAAACATGACTTATTCAATATGCTTGAAATACCTTAAAGATTATATGATCTACAAAAATGTTAACAAAATGAGAATATATACATAAATGTAACAGTTAAAACTCACCAGAAAAACGATCATATTGATTACAAGAATTGTAAAGTGAGTTGGTGGAAGAGATCTCGGGAGTGCTCCTTAAGATTTTAGTATTCCAATCCATATTTGGTTACTTTCGACTTAAAACTATCCCAAAATATTTGGGTAACTTATCATTCAATTGTTTATTTAAATCGTTTGACAATAAAAAAAAAGGACAACAATATAAAGAAAGGGACTTCACTCTAATAAGTTCAAGAAATGTTGGCTTAAAGTTTAGGATGTGAAAAATTTCTCTTTTTAAAAAGGACTTTCTCTGATAATGGTAGGCTAAAATTGCTACTGTAATAATTAATACTTTTAGCTAGCTAGGGATTGATGCCTCTCATAACTTTGTTTTATGTGCTAGATTTTTCTAGTCGCGAATTCAAGTTGTTCAAAATTAATTGTCACGTTGTTAGTTTTGTTACAACCTGTGATTTTGTGAAGCATGACGTGCATGGTGCATCATATTTTGGTAAAATGTTGTTCAATTACCTGTTGTTTTTGCGCATGCCTCTCCTATTGCCTTATTCTTTTGCGTAGTCTCTTTTAAGTTATGTGACAGTTTAAGACTGCTAGCAGCAACTTTGCATAGATGATTTAACAAGGCTGGTAGATAAAGAATGGTGTTATCATGTATAATACTATGAATTTAAGCACAATATATTCTTTGTAATAGAAGAGATTGTTGAACTTTCTCTCCATCACCTATTTAAACAAGGTTGAAGCCACAATAAAAAAATTAGTAAAGTATTTGACTCTTTATCCTTATTTAATTTTTCTAGAATTTAGTTTTATGATAGCAAAATCTCTTAATAATTTGTGTTACTCTCAAACATAGATAAATAAATAAATAAATAAAAATATTTCAAACCTTTGATTTGATTTTGACATAAATCATTATAAAAAAATCACTAAATAGCCGAGTTGGATAATTGAGTACGTATTCTCCTAAGTCTAAGCAATACAAAATAGGTTTACTTTGATTTTAGGGTACTTTTTCGATTACTCTCATCTTTGTGAAACTAACCAGTAATAACCTAGACACCTAGTGAAATTTAAAAAATCAATCATAAAGTTTTGGTTACATCATCTTTTCACAACATAAACTAAACTGAAAGAGGAATAAATTTTGAAAGGGCATTACTACAAAATAGAGAGCCTGTTTGGATGGCATCAAAAGTCACCATCAGGTCCCCAAATTCTGGTCTTAATTAAAACAGACAGCCTATGAATTCCTCTTCTCACGCCTTCACAGCCAAACAGAGCTCTAGCAGTTAACAGAGAAATAAAAACATAGCATAAGACAATTTAATGGAAGGTTGCTAGTATGTGAAGCATATAATGAGTAGATGTTACCTGCAATTTTTTTTTTTTTTTTGCTTTAAAATATTTTTTCATAACTGTTAATAGAAAAAACAAAATTGAGAAAGAGATAGTTGAAGAATGCAGAGTACTGTATACTGTGTTTTCATCAATCCCGAGTCATTTGCTGCTTAAATACAGTGTAAACCCCTAATTCACTTGCAGTGTTAACAGAAAGTTGTCTCCTATACTTCTACTTGTATGTTACACGTATGTCATACTTGATACTTGTATGAGTGACAGACTCGGCTATTTTACATAAAGAAACAAAAAAGGATAATATTATTTAATTTTTACGCATAAGTATTGAGAATCTAACAAGAATACTTGAGGTAAAAAAAAGAGTTTATATAAAAGTAACAAATGTTCTCTTAATCTTTCATTGTTGAATTTAGGGCTGTGCACCGGTCCAAAACCGGACCGGACCGGGACTGGAACCCGGAATTGAATTTTTTTGGGGACCGGACCGTAATAAACCGGTCTGGGTTCCGATCCAGACCTGTTTATTCCGCTCCGGTCCGGTTTTGGACCAGTTACATTATTTTTTTATTTTTCTTTTTCATTTTAGTATCTTAATATATACATATATTTTTAACGTCTTGTTTTTGTTTGCGTGTTTTCCTATTTTACACCTAGAATTTATAAATTACAAGTTTTGTACCTAAATATTTTAGAAATTTAAGCATAAAATTTAAAATTTTCACCCAAAAAATTACAAAAATACACATTCCGGGTTTTACCCGGACCGGACCGTAAACCCGGAATCCCCAATTTGTGAGGACCGAAGACCGGACCGGAATCAACGGTCCGGTCCGGTCCGGTCCGGTCCGATCCCGATCGGTTTTCCGATCCAGGTCCATTTCTGCACACCCCTAGTTGAATTGGTTATATTTGGGTATTAGTTTTGGGGTTTATTGCAATCAATGAAAAGTGTCAGGAGTTCTGATCTGCTGAATTGCTGGATATTCGAGTAGAGGGATAACTGCTACTCTTCTAGGGAGTCAAGATTGTTGTAGAACTGCCCTTGTGTAAATTTAATTTTGAGTGATTGTGATATGTCATTGCGTTATCTCTAGACTTTAGCATGAATTATACTCCTTCGTCCACAAATAATCTTCTTGTACGACTATTTCTTAAAATATCTACAAATACCTTCTTGTTACTTATATTGACATTTTTTTTACTCATCAGCTTATATGAAGTGGATCCTAAAACTAACACACTTCACACACACGCTTTAACCTTATCCTACTAAATTTATTTATATGCATGTTGATGGATGTGTGAGTAAATAACAAGGTTACATACTTTAACTAATAAGGTATTAAGACTCTTATACAGATTTACAACGAGTTTTCTTGAAAGGAAAATCATTTCTAACGAAACTATAAATTTACTACCTTTTCTAATTTGTGAATTGGAATATATTGAAAAAAAATTGTTACTCCGTACAATACTAGTTTTGATTACATTTTATTTTTATGATAAGGAGGCTCATTTGAGAGGGGATTAGAAAAATCCCTTATACAATCCCATGAAATTTGATCCCTAACCTTTAAGCCTCACGGATATAAGATGAGGAACGATATCACTACTCCACTAGATCCACTACCTCAACCTCAACAATTTATCTTTTTGTGGGTTTCAAAAACTTGTCTAACCATCTTGTGATAACTCCTAACTTCAGCTCTTTATATGGCACTAGTCTCTTTCATTAGAGAATTTGTTATATATAAGAGTACAAGGTATTTTTCGGCTTATTTTATCTAAATTCATCTACTGTATAACTAATAGTACAGTACAATTTATGTATGAAATACGCCTATTATGCTTGAAAAAAAAAATAACAAATCACTCCTCTAGTTTGAATTTAAGCTAATAAAAACTTACAAAGGGTCGAATTTAATGAATGATGACATCTCTCTTTAAGATAACCATTTTCAGAACTTTAAATATACAATCTATAATAAATAGCCAAGTTTACATAACTACAAACAGATGGTTGTCATCATATCAGCAAGGAAATGGCATCAGTAGTAGTTACTGATGGCACTGATTGCTGCAGCACAGTTGCAGCGGGGAAAGTTGCTCTATGTGATAGGCCACCCTCCCCTTGAAAAGTTACTGTCTACAGTTTTAAATCTTACCATTCAAGAGTGATAAGTAAAAAAAACTGGCTGTATGCACAGCCCACAGCCAACCAGGAGGCCTCATGCCGGGTTTTGCATCCAATGGGTTCATGCTAGCAGCAAGCTAAGCCAACATGGCTCACTGCCATCATTTTCTAGGTTCATACAATGCAAGGGCAGGAAACTAGAGCATTTGTTCACCAACATGCTAGACTGAAGATGGGTGTTGGCATTCTACCCACTAACCAAGACTTTAATGTATATCTCTACGAAACCTATCTATCATCTCTTTGTAAAAGTTCGAGTTCAAGGTGTTGGCAATAATGTACAGAAAGGTGAACTTATAGAAGTAAACCAAATAAATGATGGTCAGCTAAGATACTTTGCAAAGTTACAATCCTTTCAAGACATCGGTATAACGAATGTGGTGATAAAAAATGCAACAAATAATTTACATGCTCAAAATGCACATCAGAGCAAACCCCAGTTTATCACAAGCTCATCAAGCATTTGAGCAAACAAAAGCAGTATATATTCCTACATTCTTCCTCTGTAAATTTGTGTGTAAAATAAAGCAAAATAAGGCGACCTATTTCAGTGAAGATTACAGAACCATATAAATACGATATTCCTCATGCAGCAAAATTATTATAAGGTAAGCAGAGCATGATAGATACCAAGTTCCAGACAGCTAACTTTATAATAGGCATGGTGATTTGTTTGATATAGCTAATTTGAAAGCAATCTTCTTCTCTCTCTTAAATCACTAGGAATGATAGATACTGAATCTACACAAAGACCACCTTTGGAATGCGTGCAATCAATCTGCTTCATGGAGAACCTGACTTCAGGTACAGGATCTGTATCTGTGACAATAAATTCACCAACTTTGTACTCTATCCAACACCCACGCTTCAGGCTTTCCTTCATCTCATCCGATTCTGAATCATCCAAATAACACTCAGAAGTAGCATGCTGATTATCCGAAGTGGTAAGCTCAAATCGGACTGGCTTTATATCCCAACCATGTGTGTGTTCAAAGTTAGATGTGCGACGTCCTAGTCTCTTTGAAAACTTCCCCAAATGTAACCTGAAGGAAAGAGTGTAGATATCAGGAGGTAAAGGGAATTGTACAGCACCATCAACTTCAAACCACCATATTTGCTGAAGATAAGCTATCACCTGGAACCTGGAAAGGAAATCATAGATGATAATTAATATAAAGAAGCTACCAACAAGAAAGATTGAAAGAAGTCGCTGCTTTAAGACCACAGTAAAAATACTAATTAAAGTATCAACATTAGACCGTTCAAAAGAGGCAAAATGAAAATGAGCTGACTGAAAGACCCATTTAGTTCAGTATCAATTATTGGAAGGAAGAGTAAAAAGGATATACTTCTGGAATATAATATTAGAACAACATTGCATATAGGTATAGGTTACCTATATAAAGGTGTTGCAATATTTGTGAAAACTTATTAAAAGGCAATCTTTGCAATACTTATTAAAAGGCAATCTTTGCAATACTTGTTAAAAGGTAATCTTTGCAAACCTATTAAAAGGCAATCTTTGCAATATGCAAGTAATATTGCACACCATACTTGTGTCCTTAATCTTCATCTCGTTAGTTAGACCAGTAGAAGAGAGGAGTTTAGATTGTATACCATATAGCTTGACATATGCAGTCCAGAACATAAGGATAGCAGACAAATAAATAACCCAATCATAAAAACCAAATGAGAAGAAATGCCTAAATGAAAATATTCATGCTGATGGTCACTAGATACTATGACCTAAGAAGAGGTTTTACTCTTCTTTGAAACTCCAAAATTTGCTTACCCACCATAAAACTGGGCTTATACTTGCGTGCTAAGTTTAACTAGCCCAATTTATAACCAAGGTAAAGGAATAGCATATTCAGCATCTTGAAGGTCAACTTTTTATCATGAGCAGGAAGACATGCACCTGCTAACTTAGCTAAGTTGGTTAAGCAGGCACCTGATATTAAAACCAATAGGGAAATTCTCTGTATTGAAAAACAAAGGAAACTGTTTGAGTCAAATAGTTAGATTGCATTCTAAAGTAAGGTAGGCAGAAGAAAAGAGAGGTGAAAATGGGGTTTGAACTAAGAAGAGTAAGAAGTAAAATTTTCAATAGCTAAATAATATGAAGTACAAAGGAAGTAGAATTTTCATTACCTAAATAATACCAAGGGTTTCTCTATTCCCCGCCAAAGACGAGATCAAGACACCAAATATACTTGATATAATAAGGCTCTAGGCTCTACCTCTCTGATCCAATCAAAAAAATTCTTTTCAGATCCCCTGAAACCATAGCTGCCTGATGTTCAAGGCAATGAAACATGGTTTGCAATATTACTAAACAGTCACTTGACTCATGAATTTACAGATAACTCCATGTGCTTTACTAAACAATTTGGGGCAACAATTTAACTCAAAAAAGACTTTCATAAGGCAAATTCAATTTGCTATCAAGATTGCTAAATTTCCGATCAAATGCTTAGGATGATATGTTCCATGTTCCACACAGGCGGTCAAACCCAATCTTTAGCAGAAGTTTTAAAATTTAAAATCTTCTACTTTTGACTGAAAAAAGGATCCTAGGATCCAACATTCTGATGCTGCAATGTTTGTTATCTCATAATCACTTTTTTAATACATCCATTTTCCTCATTTGAACTAAAAGTAATGTTTATTATCTCATAATCACTTTCTTAATACATCCATTTTCCTCATTTAAACTAAAAGTATGCTACACTTCTCATATCATCATTAAAATATGACATCGAATCACAGTATGGAAACTAAAAAGCAAGTTTTAGTATTTGTTTACATCACTTACAAGAAATTCTAAACACAATGGAGTTTCAATAGTCATTATTAAGGAATTGAGTATACATAGATCTTATAGCTTTGTGATTAATCCTACAATCAAGCATCCAACCCTGTATACCTTCAATAAACCAAAACAGAATATTCATCCTAGCTACTGTTTGGCTAACCAAAAAGGAAAGGAATTTGCCCGTTAATTCAGTAAACGTACATCTAGCCCATTAGTCCATTTATCATCTAAAATTAATGTAACACAATTTATAAAGGCCTTTATATTCACAGTCTCATTCCTGTTTACCTAAAGCATCCAATTGTATTCCTATTAAAAAACAAAAACTTTTTAAGTACACAGAAGACCACCATCTCAAAATGCTAACTTATTCGGCATCCTATAAACATTGAAAACAATATAACCTCTGTTTCTTCTTGAGGAATGTAGAAGCCCATTTGAATTGACAGGGCATGTCCAATATTTCTCTGGCATTCATTCATGGATGTCCTAGATGATAGACATCTGCCCTTCTTGCAGCTAAAAAATTAGCTTCCAAGTCCCCAACAAAGACATAGAACAGGGAAACTGCTACATATGTTACAATACCTTATATTTTATGTTCTCAACAGCAGCATTTCCACATGTTGCAAGAGTTCTGGTTCCCCCAAAAAGTTTGACACCTGCCCTTATTGGACTAAAAAATTAGATCCCAAGTCCCCAAGAAAGACATAAAATGAGAACACTACACCATTTATGTTCCCATACCTCATTTTTCATGTTCTCAAGTGTCAGAATTCCCACATGATTGCAGAAACCCCATTCTACCATCTGCAGATCTCTTGGAAGGAAAAGGATTTACGACATAGAGAGATGAGTAGATAACATTATTACACTATTAAGGTCTGATTAAACATTAGGGACAAATTACCAATCAAATCCTAATGAAAGCATGCCTTCACAATTGCAAACATGTCATATGACTCCATCCACATCTAACACTACCCCTAGCCCACTATGGTGGAAGGGAGCCAGATAATAGATTTTCATTGTTATTAGTAGCAAGTGACACACACAACGAGTAAGCCAAAAAGTTATAATTATGACATGGTTCCAAATATTGCCAAAGTCATTAATATAGAACTGAATCAAAGAACAAAAGAGTGATAGGTGAAAAAGAAGTAATTAAGGCTTTGTTTGGTTCATTGTTAGTAAAGGAAAAGAAGAGAAAGGAAAGGAGGGGAAAAGAAAGGAAGAGAAGGGAAAAGAAGAGATTTTATTTCCAATGTTTGGTAAATGAAATGTTATGAAGGGAAGAGAAAGGAAATATGCTTTTATTTTCTCTTTTAAGTTAAATTCCTCCAAATTTGGGACGAAAGGAAAGCTGAAAATTTGTAAAGAGACTTTCCTTTCACTTCCCTTCCTTTCCTTTAAATTTTCATGTCATTCAATCAAACCAAACATGAGAATATATTAAAATCTTTTCCTTTCTTTTCTTTTCCCGCCAAATCCCTTCAACCAAAAAGGGCCTAACAAAATAACAATAATAATAGCATAGGTAAAATAACTTAACAGGTTATAGTAAGGGATGGGTGTGACAATTTTTATATACTAAGAGGTACTTCCTCCGTTCTTTTATGTTCTGCTCAGTCAATGTATATACGCAATTAAGAAAATCATGAAAAAGGTGAGTGCCGTAAAATAAATTAAAAGAGAGAAATGAAAAGGTGGGTGGATGTAAGAAAAAGATGAATAAAGAGAGGGTGTGTGGAAAGGTGTAGTTATCATGGATAAAAAGCATACGATATTAAAGAGGGTAGGCCTAAAATAAAACAAAGCAATGTGAGTATAACAAAAAAAGAAAAAGAAAGGAGGGAGTACAAATGGCCCTACCCAGTAAAATCGATGCCACAATCAACAAAGATAATAAACACTCACTCCCATAGTACAATCTTTACAAAATAGTGAATACCAGTCAATTGAGCACAAAAGGTCATCCATATGGCTGATAGAATCAATATGCACCTCACTTAAGTATATAGTAGTAGACTAGTAGCCATTAACTAAACATAAGACGAATAAGAGGTAGAGCTATAATCCATTTACATTTAAAAAAAAATTAATAAAAATAGAAGCTAAATTAATAAAAAATTAAAGATCATAGAACAAGACATGCGCATAATTTGATAGGAAAGTCTTAATTGTATATCTATATGATATATAAAAGAATAGGTAATGAATTACTACAGAATTCAAGACCAATCATATTTGATGAAGTTGGAGGACAAAATAGACTAAGGAAATTGCAGAAGGAAAAAAAAATGAGTACAAAGGTGAAAATAAGGACATTGCCGCAATTAAATTTTTCAGAGATATCAACCATACAAATATTAAAAGTTTATTAACAACATTGTAAGTTGTATTCTATAAAGAGACCCTTAAATCTATTAGTGGTCCCTTGGGAAAAAAAAAATGTTAATAGAAAACTCCACTTACATAGGTGTCCTCAGTAAACTCCTCCAATTCTGTAAAGCATAACTTCCTATGTTCTGCCAACCAAACAACTCTCCATTCTTCAAATTCTTAGGAACTCCTACTTCCTATGTTTATTTGTGTCGACCAAACAAGCACTTGAATCATACTATCAAATTATTCATCATCACTTCAATAATTTGAAGCTAAACAAGTGACATACAAGTTCGGGGGGCATCAAGAAACGAAAAGGCAATTAGAATCCCCCTTTCCACTCTTCTCTAATTTAAAGTTCCAACACAAAACGTTAAAGGTTCCCTTTCCTTTCCAATAAAAATTGGAGGAATTTTGTTTCCCCACCCTCCCTACCCCTCTCCTCAGGCCTCAAATTTTTTTAGCTCAAAATTACCACCATGAATCTATGGCCTAGCACTTCCACTCTCTTAACAGCTTCTTCCCCACTCAAAACCCAAAAATATCACTTTCCTTTCATAACAAAATTGGAAGAATATCGAAAGAAAAGAAAGTTTTAAAATAATCAATCGAATTAGGCTTGGTTGGAGCTTTAGCTTTACTTCCCTATTTTTCTAATTGTTAGATGATATTAATAAGTTACCAATTCCCTCCCTTCTTTTTCCTTTTCCTTCCCTTCCTTTCAAAATTCTTTACACTTCAATAATAATATTTAAATTTATCAAAAAAAAAAAAAAACCCCAAACAAGGTGTTATAGAATACAGCACAAAATGTGAATTAATAAACTTTATATTTCATCAAAATACACCTTTAAAAAATTTTAAAAACTCGTAAAGTTGTAATTTGCTGCAATGGGGTTTAATTGCTGCAAAATCATGCATTATAGGCACATACAACTCCACTAGAACAATCTTCCATTCTAGACCCTATGTTTCATTTTTACCAATATTTAATATTCGATTTCGATTTATATTGTTTAGTTTGATTGGTTTGGTCTTTCATGGATTCCAATAATTATTGGAATGCTTTCATTAATTAATTCGTTAGGATAGTTGGAGTAAGGAGCAAGACCACTTTAATTATCGACGGAGACCTAGGGTCACAAAATCACAAATTTAGGGGATTAGTTTTTGGGTTTCAAATTCAAGAAAATTTGGATTGAGTTTAGTTTTTCAGTAATTAGAGATTTGGAGTAGAGAATTTTCAACTAGAATTCACTTAAAACTAATCCATTTCACAGACCAGATTTAAGATTCCTTGGCCTTCCTCCTAAATACAATTGCTCTAATCCATATCTGTCAATAAGGCCTTTATTTCATAGCTCTGTTCATCTTTGGCTCATCGAGATCCATATCATATTTTGCCCTCAAACACCACAAAAAAACAGTTATCCAACTACCCTCTTAGCATTATACAGTCAAGTCATCTTTTACTTGATTCAAAAGACAGTCAATATACTGTTCACCAGTCACCACTACAGAGTCTACCAAACTTCAACAAACCACAAATACCTAAGCACCACCAACGCCTTCTCATAATTTAACAGAAAGGCCTGACCTCAAAATCAAATTTCCAATAAAATGGTGGCTAGTAACCCAATACTACCTTCTTACATATATATTTATACACCTTGAATGTCAATGGCTCATCCCACTTCCACAAGTTTTTCTACCAAATTCTTAACTTTTAAGAGTTTTGACCGAAAATCCACAAGAGAATTCCACCAAATGGGTTCATTTACAATCCCAAAAGAAGTTCAAAAATGAATAAAAGAAACAGTAGAAAAACAAAGCCCATTAGTTTACCTGGATTCTTCAGTAGGAATCCAACTCCAATACCTCCTATCTTCAATCCCAGTTATCGACATTGATCTCGTCGATATAGATAAGCACACCCTCCCTGTCACTTTATCCACCCACGCTTGCTGCTCAATGAAGACAGAACAACAAAATTAATCCAATTAAAAAAAAAAAAAAAAAAAAAAAAAAAAAAAAAAAAAAAACAACTCTTCACCACCAATAAAAAAAATAACCATAATTGCTAAGACCTATAGAATTAACACACATAATTATAATTAGCATTGATCAAAATCCCCAATTACATGAAAATCCCAACAGATAAGCGTTAAACAAAGATCAAAAAATTCTCAGAATCACATAAACTACTATTCCCTGTAAACTCATGAATCAATCACAATTTTCTCAATCCATAAAACAAAAAAACATTAAAAAAAAAATGGAAACCCAGAATCCCAAAAGTAAAATTAAAAATAAAAATAAAAAATAAAAAAATGATTATCTCAATTAAACCCAATTTACCCAAAATGAAAACCCTGATCAACCTTAATCAGAAAATTCCACAAATTGATATAATACAACAAAAAAAATGCACAACCAGATTACCTTGGTGTTGTCATCAAAAGGGGTAGATCTTGCAAAAAGGGCAAAAATGTCTTTTTTAGGAAGATCCTGGTAACGATCAAGAGGCAGGAGAAGAGCAAGCAGATCTTGATAATTAGGGGGAAGCTTCGATTCCCAAACATTATCAGACGAAGCAGCCCCACGAAAGGCACGATTAAGGCGAGCAAGGTTACAAATTTCCAGCGGAGTAAGATACATGAATACACAAGCTATACAGGCCTCCGGTATGTCACCAAGGCCAGGGCCATATTCTCCGCCATTAGCGCCGCCCTCGGCTGAATTCGAGAGCGACGCTCCCATTTGATTGTAAGAATTGGATCAAAAGAACAAAGGAAAAGGGCTGAATTTGAAATGGGGTGTTTTAGGTTTGATGGGTCGCCATTGAAGGGGAGGAGAGAGAAATTGAAGAAAAGGGGAAGGATTATAAATGGAGATTAATGGGGAAAATGGGATTAGGAAGAAAAGAGAGAGGAGAAGAGGAAGAAGAAGAAGAAGAAGAGTGAGAGGAATATGAAAAGGGGAGAAAGGATTTTGGTGGTGGTGATTGCATTGTTTTGTTTGTTGGTTTTGGGTTTTTGGGGATCTTTGAATTTGGGAAAGAAAGAAAAGTAAAGTATATCTTCTTTGTAAGAAGTGCCTGTCAAAATGGCAATAAGGAATGTTTTTTCTCTACACATTTTACTTTTCTACATCCTTGGTATTTAAGGATAATGGTCTTCTTTAGCAAACTGCGGTTAGTGGTTCACTTGACTTGTTTGACCAGTTGGAATGTTTGGCTGTATATAATGGTTGTTTAAGAGTATCTCCAATGGTTTACTTGTAAGGACTTGCTTGCAATATAAATAAAATTTCTAGCTACATGCTTACGATTGGAGAACAAAAAATTGAGCAACATGTTAGCAATTGTAGCCTGAACAAGCTACATGCTTGATTGAAAAGGAGACAAAGAAACTCCACTTATATTGTAACATGTGTATAATTATTTATTTATTTTTTGAAATTTATTTTTTACAAACTAAAAAATGTTGTAGCTTACCATTGGAACACTTTGTTGCTAAAAAGTGTTGTAGCTTAAAAATTAATGTGGAAAAGCAAGCTACAAAGCATTGTAGCTTGCCATTGGAGATGCTCTAACTTGGTTGTTTATAGAAGTGTTTGATAAATTTAATCGTTGGTTGTTTTGTTAATTAGATAACTAGGTTAACCCCGTGCAATGCAAGGTTTTATAATAAGAATTGAATTATAAACTTTTAACACATATTGAAAGAAAATAACTACTTCCTCCGTTTTCCTAATTAATTTTTAATTAAATATGAATGTACAATTCCCAAAAGTGCATAATTTTTATATTTAATTAGGAAATTTCAATTAAATTATATTATTAACTATTGTTAACAACTTATAAATAACTAAATAGCATAATATGTGTAGAAAACCCAAAATTTAAAAATTCAAATGGAACTTAATTTTCAAAGCAATGTTAAATAGGATAGCTTAAAAAGGAAAAAATATGACATCAACCTTGCATTTAGAGGGAAAAAATTAAATAAGAAAGTGACACGTAAGCAGAATTGATGTCACCGGTTCTTATTTTAGTTTATATATAGATAGATAAATTTGTGGGTCAACAAGCCAAAAGCCAACAAAAAACCTTCTCATACCAGTTTTTTCATTTTGGCTTAAAAGCCAACTTTTTTGCTGGCTTACCAAACACTTTTTTTTAACTGTTTGACCACATAAAAAAGGCAAAAGCCAAAAGATATCCAAAAAGTCATTTACCAAACATGGCCAATATACTTTTTTCATTTCTTATGTTACATCGTTTAAATTATTACTCGTAAACATTTTTCCTTACACTTTATACCTAATCGTTGTATATAATTTGAACAGAAGTAGTACATATATTATTTTTGATTGAATTTCTACAATTTTTGAAGTAGAGATTAAAGAGAAAATATATATATATATATATATATATATATATATATATATATATATATATATATATATATATATATATATATATATAAAAGGGCTGGAATTAGTCAAAAAGTAAGGTGATGATCTAATGATGTATCTAATAATCAAATAAAGTAAGATTCTATTTAACTTTTTTATAAGGTAAACAAAATTATTCCAATCATCTCATCGAGAGTAATTCAATTAAGGGTAGCAATGTACAGGGTCTAGTATACTTGAACTCCGACCTTAAATTTAGGAAATTTTGAATTTGCTACCTTGAAAATGGATGTAATTGAATTTTCGCACTCGTTTAAACTTTTTTTTTTTTGGTACCCATTAAATGTAAAAAATATAGGTTTTAATACCTCCGTTCATGTTCCGTTAAGTTTTCTGTTAGTGAGGTCTTGCCACCTTCGAGCCACCCCTTAGCCACCTTTCAGCCACCCCTTAGCCACATAGCAACCAAGCACGCAGCCACCTCGTCGTGCCACCACACCACCACCAAAACTACCCTTAGAGTCGCTCCCTCTATTACATTACTAGCCCCTCGCTCCAATTCGCACCAATGCCGCTCCATCACACCACCACCACCAAAACTATTGTAACACCATAGAAATTTCCTTACTTTAAAATACATGTATTACCTTTTTTAAAATACGAAATAGGAATTTCTAAAACATTACCGCCACCGTGATAACATCTAATCTTTATGAAAGATACACAGCGGAAGACATTGTCAAAAATCATTTAAAAACAAACCAAGTTCAAAAGTCCCACCAAACAAAAGTAAAGTCAAACAAGGTCCAACTTACAATTTGGAACCATTATAGGCCCTTTCAAAACAAACGGTATTAAAATACATTAGTTTCATCAAGCAATAACAATAATCCAACATTAAATAATAATAATAATAATGCATATTCAAAACAAAACTAGAATATGACTTGCTCTTCACTCAAACCCCAACATGAATATGCCGCTTCACCTAGACTTCTCTTAAAACTGTCCCCACTATTCGCCATTAGAAATTTGTCGTCGTAGGAGAAAAATAAAGACAAGGCCAAACAAATATACAAACACACAATCAGCAATGCTAAGTACATAAGCGTAATCGAAACACACTATCATGCATGCAACCTGGACACTTACAAACTTACCTCGAGCCCTGAGTTCAACATGAAACCAATAATGCAAACACAAGACAATTAATCATTTATTTAATTTGATTACACATCGAATGGGCTCCCCCCTAACTTGCCTTAATAAAGGGGTACTAACATGGGAGATAATAACCACGTGTAAGTGGCGGAATTCCTACGCATAATAAAAAAGAAAATACAGCGTCCTGTACTCCCAATAGAAGTTATGGTCAAATATAAAGTCGCATAACTCCCCCCATATGTTCATACTCAAGGTATATACATTCCAAGAGTTTTGGTGCGTAATCTCTTTCACTTTACGTTATTTACATATTACTTAACTTGGTGATGGGTGACTCACGAACCATAGCAATAACAATAATCAATACCATTCAAGTAAACAAGTATACAAATTTAATTCTTGAGTGATTAGCAACCACATAATCTTTAATGTTGAATTCTTTTTAATTTAACTCGGTGTCAAAGACATCTTAAACGTATAATGCGCCATAAATCCTATTCTCTCGGTGTTGAAAACACCTTAAGTGCACTTAGGCACTAAAATGTAATTTAACCCTCGTATACATAGACACTTAAATAGCTCTTTCCTCATGCTTATAGCATCAATAAAATTTATATGAACCATAAAAAAATTTCCTTTCAATATTCCAAACCAAATTAAACATATAGTTTAATTAAACATGCATTCACTCATGCTAACAATAAAAGTTTGGTTCATATCCAACATGCTAACATATATAATTAATTCCAATCATCAATTCACCATAAATAATCCATACTTCAAAATTCAATCACCAATATTAAACTAATCAACAATTCCAATCAATACCTATCATGATACTACTTGGAAGTAATAAATTAAAGCATAGCATGCTTCTACATATTCAAATAATTACTAAGTACATGAAAGTACCTCAATCAAGCCCTTAAGGTGGCCGAAGATACTACAACACTTCTCGAACCAAGTCTCCTACATAAAGGGAAAATTGACCCTATATAAATTACCCTAGTATACACAATTTCCAGCAACTTAATCTCACTTTAAACAACTTATAATAATCTGAAAATTATTTAAATACTCTTATTTAGTCTCTATTTTAATGGGTAATTTAATTAAACCCTTTTATCAAAATTACAATACTACTACTTTACACAAAATTCTAGCAATGATACTTTGTTAATAATCAAAATTATATTTTTATACTTGGTTAATAATCAAAATCAATGGGTATTCAAAACCCCCAAATTAATTGATAAAAGAACCCCCAAAAAAAAAAGTTATTATAAACTTTAAAACCCTAACTTAATGAATTATAAAATCTGAAAATTAAAACCAAACTAAATAATATGAAATTACACTTTTTAATCATTAAAACATGATTTTGATAATAATTACACCAATTTTGAACAATAAAAACCAAGACCAAACCTAAATAACAAAGTAAGAAAATAAAGAGGAGGGGGAGAGAGAGGGGGGGGGGGGGGGGGGGGGAGGGGAGAGAGAGAGAGAGAGAGAGAGAGGGAGAGAGAGAGAGAGAGAAGTAGGGTGTCATGATTGTGGTCGGTTGGTGGATGTCGGCTGCTAGCTGGAGGTCGTTAGCATGGTGACATGGCGGCAGTAGGAGGTGGGGGCAGCAACAACAATTCCTCCATGAAACCCCCCCCCCCCTTGGCTTTCACATAAAAAATAAAAGGGTTTTTCTAAGCTATGCCCTCAAGGTTGTTGAGTTTCTAAGGTGTGCCCATGCTTTTTCAAAATTACAAGTTGTGCCCTCCAATTTAAGTTGTTTAATTAACCGTACCCTCTGACGTAAACTCGACGTTAGAATTGTAAATAAATAGGAAGTAATGAGAAGTGGATGAGAAAAAAGAATAAGAAATACACCGAGAGGTTGACATATCAATGGTTGCTTTTAGAAGAAAGAAGAAAAAGCAGATGAGAAAATTTGGAAAAAAAAATGTTAAATGTTAACCTACTTATATAACTCTAACTCAATTTGGGCATGAAATTTCTCTCCAAAGTGTGGTAATGAACCGTTAACACAACTACAAACATTGGATTAACGTTATAGGGTACGGTTGAATAAACACCTTAAGTTGGAGGGTATTTCTTGTAATTTTAAAAAAGCATGGGCACACCTTAGAAACTCAATAACCTTGAGGGTATAGCTTAGAAAAACCTAAAATAAAAAAATAAAAAAATAAAGGAAAAGGAAAGTAAAGGGAAAAAATAAGAAAAGAAAAAGGAATAAGAAAAGGAAAATTAAGAGAAAACTAACCCTTCTTGACTTGTTGACTTTTGTGTGTGGAAAATTTTGGGGATTAAAGTAGTATTTATAGTGTAGAGTAGGTTAGGGTAGATTTGGGCTTCATAAAAATGATGGTCATGGGTAATAAAGTATGAGGCCCAAGTATATGGCATATTCTTACATGTATCCTCATGCATGTAGAATAGGTGAAACACCAGCCCAAACTCAAATCAATCAACACAGCTCTTTGTTTCCTTTTTTTTTTCAATTTTTTTGTTTCCTTCTTCCAAATTCTCTCT